CTCGTCCCGACCGGCACTACTCTGGAATCCCTCATGGGAGTGGTTGATGCATGTCTCCTATCAAATTTATCAGAAATCGGACCGCATCAGCGTCTGTGACTTGTACCGGCAACCTCGCCGATGACATCATCAATCTATCTTTCTGCGAGATCTAAACATAAACACTTTTTGCATATAATTCCCCCCAAACTTCTACCTTAGACGTATCCCCCTTAGCTTGATCGTAGAAGAGCTTCAAAGCTTCTAATAAGCACTGGCCTTGAGGACAGGTGATTTCGTTGACCACCAAAGTGTTTGAGAAAGGTTCGGGTTGTGATAAGAAATGAAGTCGCGTGGACCATGGGATGGACGATTCAGCCTTATGAGCCCATCCTGAAAAAAGAATCTACTCTAATTAGTATTGGGAAATATGTTTGCTGTTACGAGGTCAGCTCGAGAGTTTCCCGAATGGTAATGAAAGTCTACAGAAACCAATGAGAATTTCCAGAAAATTTTCATATTGTCACCAACATTTGCCCAATTTTCCCCGCACACTGAGCCTAATAGTTAGCGCTTCAATCCAACATCCCCAAGGCCCCCGGTTCAAACCAAGTACATATCCATTTACCTGCGTCCTCCACAGCATCCTTCCCTTGAAGGAGCCTCTTCAACTGATTAGAAGCTCTACTATCCAATGCCGACATAGCCACCATCCCCACTGCTTCATGACCATCAATATCCCAACCCTCCACAACAACAACCATGGCCAACATCATCAAGATACTCCTGCAGAGCATCTTGCGCACGCTCAAGGTTTTAGAAATCATCCGCGAGGAAAACTAAGCTGAAACACCCTACAGACAACAACTGATAAGTTCTCACTGAAAATCAAACACAAACCGCTATAAGCAAGCTTCGAAATGATAATACGTCAGTTTGCTCACTGAAATATTTTCACCACAACATACCACACCATCGTCACTTCCTAGTCCCGACTCGCCCTGCCGCTTCAGTTGACTCCCTTTAATCTCGATAGCCCTCTTGCCGAGGTCAGAGAGGCCATGAGATCCTCACTGATGAGAATCACAAGCGGCTCAAGTGAACTGATATCTATACCAGATTTAACGACTTTTGGAGAGAACTGAAGACCAAACGGTAAACACACCATAAGAGGGAACCCCAACTCCTACTGCATATGGGAACTCCTCTACGAGATCATTTCTAATGATACCGGCGGATATGAGATACCAATACTACTACTACCCAACTTGTCCAACCCTTCCTCTCTCTGCCAGTCACTTCATAGATATCCAAACCGGCCAGTGTTGTAGACCTCTCCAGCCCAGTTTATCAACGATTTCTGCTGCTGCTGCCCGAATGATATACCGCGGTACGTTTTCCTCGTATTTTAACTTTGTATTTTCTACAGAATTCAACCACTGCAATAGGGAGATTAACCTACATCTTGCCAATGGTATGTCGTTGCACAACATCACTGTGTCGTTTTCTACCACCGACTTGAATTTCCCTCTCTACCAAAACCATGAGATGCCTCTGGCCTTATTAACCATACCGGAAATGGGATTAGATGCTCTCAAGAAGAGTAAAGGGTTCATCCTTCAAGGCCGATTCTCGGCCGTACTTAAATCTGCTGGTCTACTCCTATGATAATCCCGTCGTTCCTGTTCTTCTGTGCCATTTTTGAGCATGTTACGACAGTTTCTCGGCCACAGTTGAGTTGATAATAAGTAGAGTGAACATTGATGGCACATCAACAGTAGTAGCCAGGACCAATCTTACCCAAGGTCCAGCAGGCGACTCTGATGCAATATGAACATTTTGGCCGATTCAATATCGGAGTACACAAGATTGCAGGAAGCATCATCGACCCATAGGCTTAGATTAGCTCAGGCCCATGGACTAGGGATACACCGTAGAGATGATAAGGGTGCTCACGTACGGGGCAGTAGAGGTTGAACATTGGTGATGAGGTCGAGGTAGATATCGGACAACAACGGAAGGCCATTGGAAATACGACAGACAACCACCTAATCCGAGGCGATGGCGTTGAGGAAAGCGAGATGTGTGTAAGATCCCAAGGTAAGTAGTCACCGATGGGAAAAGTAAGTGAAAGCTTACCGGTTTACCGGTGCCCTATGATAGGGCCCCTATGATTCCCGCCGGCGCCCCTGAAAAACTTCGCTCGCCCCTAAATTACTCATTTTGCCTGTTACCCTACAATGTAGGGCCTTCACGAAGCTTGTGGAGTGTAGAGTGGTGCAAAAACAGGACCGTGACGCGCTCACCCGCGAAGCTAGTTACTCTGAGCCTGTGTATTTTGTGTGATATTGTTGCTGCTGGTCCTAACTGTTAGTGTGAGGCTTATTGACATCTTACTTTATCAGCTATCACTGATAGCCTATCAGTTGCTGGTGAGCGTCCTGGCTCCTCTTTCCTACCCTCTGCCAGTGGCAGACTGCCACCCGGTAGTTTCTGGTTGTCTGCATCTTGACGTGCAATCTTCAACTGTGTGAGGATGGCCGTCCGATGGCCACAGATGAAGTCGGCAGGGCGGGACGAGTTGAGTTAACGAGTTTTGGGTGGGAAGCTGCGATCGGGCCTGTGTTTGCATCTATGATGCTTGCACAGTCCCTTAAGCGCCTGCGGCGTTGCCTTGCCCCTATCACTCTGGTGTTGGATGGGATGTGTTCTGAAAAGTATGTAATTCATCTGCCACAACACTAAGACTTCGTATAAGAATGACAGCGTCACTTCTGCAACTCAGTATAAAAATATTCAACTTCATTTTGATGATCAAAATTCGTTTTGTCAAAACTTGATCAAAATTTGATCGCTTAAAATATTCTCACTCTCCCTTAGAGAGTAATCTCTCTTTCAGTGCTTCTATACAGCACAAATCCGGCGAAAACGAGGAGAATGGAGTGTGTGTCTACCACAACCACCACATCATGCACATTCGCATGGGTCGGGCTCGGCTTCTTCAAGATCAGTTCTATCAGACGCAGCTAAAGCAGTCATATTAGAGGAGCTGCGACATAGTATGAAACCTCGGGGGACAACGAGGCCATTAAGGGAGCGCGGAATTTTCCGAGGACACAACAGCGCGGTCACTAGGAACGATGTGGAAAAAGCTGTATACAATGCTCGTGCATACATGAAACGGAGATTGGAGAACTCCGAGGAGGGCACGGGCTTCACTATAGCTTCAGTAAGAGCCTTCGCTGAGGAACATTCAGATCGTCCCGAAGATCCTGACACTGCTTTCTGCCTTGACGACGCTATCATCCCCGGAGGTTTCTTCTATTTCGTATTCTCCTGCACGAGGCTACTGTGAGCGAACACCGGATACGACGTGATTACCTGTGACTATACGCCGCCTCCAAACCGATTGGGACTTCCCCTCCTTAATCTCGGAGGTTTGGATCCTACCGGTCACCTCAAACCTGTCGCCTTCGCCATAACGAGCGACGAAACACATGAATCCGCCTCCAGAGTCCTCAGAAGCGTTCGACGCCATGCTCAACTGCTTCATACATCATTCGATCCTCATATCATAGTATCTGATAAGGCGGAGGTATCAGCAAAGCCTACCGTGAGGTGAGCCGAGCATTAATTCACTGTTACTGTTGGTTCATAACAAAGGGAATTCATTTTTTCGATAGTGGTCATTATGGTCGTCGTACATTGTGTTGCCGGTCGTTGTGGTGATTGTGATTGTGGTCTCGGTGATAATCGTAGTAGTCATAGGCGCGAGTGATATTCGATCATCTCAGTGTCCGTCCGTCAATTGTCCTCTGTAAGGTAGCATGAACTATAGGTGTTTAGATCCCCCTTGTCAAAGGGCCTTTGGTAACAACGTCTGCACTGGTTGGTGTCCTGTACGTTAATTACTTCATCTTGCAAAGGCTTATTTCATTCTCGGTAAAATCAATCCCATCCATTAACCCTTTGGAATATATGGATCGTATGCACCGATCAGTCACTGCACTGTGCATATATTCACCTGCGTTAGAGGCGAACAACTGTACTGAAAACCCAGGCTGCAATGAGAATGAAAGTCGACGACGGAAGAACCTGCTGAAGTGTGTTGGACCGAATAGCCCCAAATTGGGGCCCCCAATCTGTAACAGATAATCTGTTAATAGTCGACCGCTACGCGGAGTCTGTCACCAATGGTGACTCACCATGACATAGCAACTGGTCATCTGATGTCAGAGGGATACGTAGGTGTAACACCTAATTCGCGGGTCGACAGTGTCATACGTAGGATTATTTTCTGAATTTAGGCGGATATCGTCTTCACTGAAAATAATGTGGCGAGTTCAGGATTGGCTCGTGACTATGTCGTTCTGAACTCGCTATGTCGTTCGTTTCTTGAGAAATACGGGTCGTAGTAGTCATTCTTATTAGTATTTTGTAGTTATTGTATACAGATACTCTACCGATTGGGAAGGTTACTTTCGCGATTGTGATGCTAGATGTCGCTACGCTTACATTCACGTCATGCCGTTCGCAGTTGATGGAGGTTCTGTGATGGGAGTTTTGGCAATATGTCACGGACGAGGGTGGATCTCACAAACCCATGTGGGAAGCAGTCCACGTCCGTGACGCATTCAGTGCCCGGGATAAAACACGGCTATACCAATCAGCCACCGTGCAGATCCCGGGTGAATGCCCCCCATCTCGGTTGGAAAAAAGTCTAAACACCGTCACACCCAAGATAGCTCGTCTGATGCCTAACTAAGAGTGCTTGAGGGTTTCCAACAGGAATTCTCAAGCACTCTGGGGGAACTTTCTCTGTTCTTGGGTGTATGTTCCGAAGGTGATCAGACTGGATCACTGCTTTAGCAACGACTTGACGTCTTGCTTTTCTCTTGAAATTCCGTCATCTGTCTTTCGGCTATCCGTGAACTTGCTCTCTTGGGAGACCTTCACTCACGTCATGCCGTTCGCAGTTGATGGAGGTTCTGTGATGGGAGTTTTGGCAATATGTCACGGACGAGGGTGGATCTCACAAACCCATGTGGGAAGCAGTCCACGTCCGTGACGCATTCAGTGCCCGGGATAAAACACGGCTATACCAATCAGCCACCGTGCAGATCCCGGGTGAATGCCCCCGCCTCATGTTGCCAAACCTCTCCCGCGTGCATGTTCGAAGCTCCATACTTGAATGCCCACCGGGTTAATTAAGGGTGTTAGCAAGTTCACGCCTGGGTTTTATGTCAGTGATCTGATCCCTTCCGCCGTTCTCGGGTCCCCAACCCATGAAACACAGGTGTGGCCTTGTTACTAATCACTCTTAAACACGAATCCTAGTGATCCCAGAAACACCTTATCCGACCATCCGCAGACTATGCGGGCAGCGG